CGCCTCCTCAGAAAAGGTTGGAAGGGAAGGCGAATGACCCACTGTCATAGCCCCAAGAGAATCCCTCAGGGCGCTTCGATCAAGACTCGTGATTCCAAGACCGACCCCGACCGGTACAGCCGCCATTGGCTCAGGAGCTCTGGTGACCTCGATAGCTTTCGCAGATCAGATCACCAAAGCCGAGGCATCTTCTTCTTCTTCTTCTTCTTCTTCTTCTTCTTCTTCTTCTTCTTCTTCTTCTTATTCTTCTCTCAGTCGTTGGACCGAGTCAATCGGAAGAGCAATTGCCTTCCTCCTCACCCTTTGAGTTTTGGGCTTGAGGTCCTCTGATCGAGAGGCAGCTTTTCGCTTCTTATCTTACCCCGGTTTCGGTACCGGGGACTTGGTTCCTTCTTCACCGCTCGAAGGCCTCAAAGCGGCATTATTGGTTATACCTGCATGAAAGGAAATCGGTAACGAATGGAGCACAAAGAACACTTCGAAGTAAACGAGAAGTAAAACCTTACCATGATTCTTGGCCTCCCATCTACCTTTTGCCAAATCACACCAAGCGCGTTCGGCATAAGAGAAAGTCGAGGCTAACTTCCGAACCCAATCCTCGAGGTTGGGTACCGCTTGTGGCATCCAAGGGGCAGCTGTATATCGGAGAAAGACATCAGAAAAAATCGAAAAAAAATACGAAAAGCAACGTCTTATGAGAACCACTTACGGTTGAAATTCCATTCCTCGGGGAATGGCATCTTCTCTTCCGGAATAAGGTCACGAATCCTCACCCGAATATAACGGCCTATCCAACCCCGATCCTTGTCTTCGTCGATGCTCGACATCAAAGCCTTCGATGCCCGACGATGAAGTCTGATTAGTCCTCGAAAGATTTGAGGCCGATACAATCGTATGAAGTGATTCAAGGAAAAATCCAGCCCCCCGGCTTTGATGGAGAAAAAGCGAAGTAGGATTACCATACGCCATAAAGAGGGATGAATTTGACCGAGGGTGACCTGATATCTTTTTCAAAAATCAATGATCACCGGTTCGACGGGACCCAACGTGAAGGGATAAGTGTAAACACTTAAAAACCCCTCCACATGGGTGATGACGCTCTCTTCGGGGGATGAAATTTGCAACACAACCTCGGAACCCCAGTTGCAGTCTTTCCTAACGGCCTCGAGATGACCCTCCGTTATAGAGCACATGTACATCGGCACGTGCTCGCATCGACCCGGAACAGATGAAGGATTCTCAACCTTAAAATCGATCTTCATAGTACACGGGCCGGGAACATAGTCATAGGTGGACGGTTCCACCGGCGCCTTGTCGCCGGACGGCCGTGAAGAAGAAGCTTTCTCCTTCTGAGGTACAGTTTTCGAAGTTTTGGCCATTGATATGAGAGGAAGAAAGGAAAAGGAAAGTGAAAAATTGATGACACCAAAACTCTGGTGTAGATGGCTCTGCAAGTGACGAAATAGAGAGAAAAGATAAGAAAAATTAGAAGAGTGAAGGCATAAAAGTGGTAAATGTTAGATGGAAGGGTTATTTATAGGCTCACATTATGACAGTTCAATATCAGAGGTGGTCGACCGCCATCTAACAAGCATTAAATACCTTGAAAGACTAAATCGATGGGACAGCTATCACATACGTCATAATCGATCCCTGTTAAAACGTCATCTTATAACCCGATCGAACCATCAAAAATCATATCGATTCCCACCGCATCCCTCATGAGAAACGAGGGGACTATCTGTATACGGTCGAAATAGATTTCGGCCTTCCTACGTTCGATCGAGTTCAAGTGGCAAGAAATTGGAGTGAGATTTTGGGAGTGAGCTCCGAAGACAGTACAAACGAGCCTCGAGTCTGAAGGCTGCTCGAGGAGTCGGCTCGATAATCTTATCGAGCCCGTGACCAAATCGATCTGCAAGGCATTGCTTCGAGGTTGGAAATGCGCCACGCCCATCCCGAAGGTCGAACTCAAGCCAAGACCGAAGGGCTCGACCCAGTAACGAGTTCGAGCCAGTATCGAGCTCACAGACAAGAGCCGTTACAACCGCACCAAGAGAGAATTTTGGCGGGAATCGAGGAAAAGACAAATCATCATGTGTCATCCACTATATGCTTTATTTTATTATTTTTTATTTTAAATAAAGTAATGACCCTCTATTATAAAACGGGGGATCCTTGTAAGCTATGGAGATATTAAATAGAGTGGAACAAAAGATCTTTTCTCTTATACAAAGATATCTCCTTGTGCTTGTTTTATTTCATCTTACTCATTCTTTCTGTTCGTTATTCTCATTCTCATAGTCAAGAATACTCGTATTGCTATCTTTGTATCAAAAGGTATCACGTATCCTTAAAACCATACATAAATTTAACGTTATCTGATTTTTCGGTAGTTTTATCTGCTTTGTATATTCTATCACATGAGCTACACCGTTATATAACAAACTATTAGTTCTTACTTCCGTTATCTCATAACTATTCATTATGATATGAAGCGCATCATCATAGAATGTGTTATAAGTTCTATCCCCCATTCCGACATAGACCAGTAGAATTCAATGCCATCCTCCAATCAAATCATCAGTGTGGTGTAAATAAGCAAAAGCACACTGTGGTTATAGCTATTGATAAAAGAAAGCGGTTCCCTCAATTGTGGCATCGCCAATAGAATCTAGCATTTGATTCATACTATTTATTTTGCACTAAAGTACGGGAAAAAATCAAGAAAAGGTCGAAATGATGTTCTACTCCTTTGAAAGCATTTTCTGTTTCTTTCCAAAAACAAACCAACAGTGTGAAGTAATGAAGAACCACAAACATGCTACTGGGGGACATATTTAGATCGTTACAATATGTATTTGAGGGAGATTTGCAGAACACTCCCTTTACCTTTTGTGCTAATGTTTTCTGAGCTCCTATGTTCATTCTGATTAATATGAGCTTCTAAATTCTTATCGGTGCATTCATATTAATTTTTCTATTTTGTCGGGCAATATGTCTAAAAGACCAAATCAGTTCACATTTAAAATCCTTTTGTGTTCTATATATCATTCGCTGCTAGCCATTTAATCACCTTGCATAACCACCTACCTCATCTATAGACAATCTAAAAAGATTCTATAGCATATTAAACTCAAAAGACGTAACAGTATTATCTGCTTTGTATATTCTATGCATAAAGAAATACATCACTTCTAACCTTAATATGTGGGGGTTAGTCTACACCACAAATGAGATGGTAATCTTCTAATTTAATTCCAAGATTAATATTCTCTGTCAATGGAATATTATACTAATTCAAAATTACTCAATTTAAAGGTGGTTGGGGAGAAACCAACGTACAGGTAAAATATTATTTTGACCCCATTCAAGAACCTACAAAAGCTGTAAGTTCCCATTTGTCTTTATTCTCCCTACCAATCTTATAATATTATTTTTTTAAACTGAAACTCTAACTATATCGATCTTCTCCTGCCATGGAAAAGGCACTTGGAGAACAACCAATTAAAAGCACCAATCTCCTCAATCATTAGGGCAAATGCCAAAAATTTGAGAATTGTATGGTCCTTTTTGATTAAATTTTGTATATTTGATGATTAAATTTCTGCTCCAAGTCTACAATATGAAAGCAGAACTTAGATTTCATGTGTGAACTTATCTTAAGCATAGTCAACACTAATAAAGTTCTTTTCTGTAGAAACATCATACCTAATTGCCCGGCATAAGTTTTTCCCATAGAATGGAAATGTCAATCAAGGCAGCCTTTGCAGAAAAATGAAGAGTATCTAATTAGTTTTCTTAACAACAGGAATTCCTAAGATTATATTCTAGTTGACTAAGTATTGAATTGCATTTGTTTAACTTTCACACAGACAATATATCTCCTCTAGAGTGTGGACGTCATCATAGGAAATACCACCTGCAAAAGTAAGACAAAGTTAACCGAAATTATTGTTAGAACGTATAAAAAAAACCTGATTCTTGATTCAATATACTAAATAGAGTCATAAAATTGGCCAAAGACTTGGAATACATTGCTCTAAAGATAAAGCTATAAGCAAAATATTTGCAATAATTTCTTTATCTTCACTATTGCTTTAAGCACACATTAGGAAAAACCCACAAAGAGTCATTGCGTGTGAAAATTTTCTTTCCAGTATCAAGTCAAGTGTTGACCTGCGGCTGCCTACATGAAGGGAAAACTATTTCCATCTTAGATATAAGTACTCAAATAATAGAGTCGGCCAACAAAAGTTCCCTTAGTGGATGGTCTAAAACTTGACAGTTTACCCGCAAAGGAAAAAAAATAATTAACAATCATCACAAAGTATTATGTTTGTCTTACACAGATACCACAAATTTTACGCTAACCAATTCTACTTTTGAATGAAAGAAAATCAACTCAAATCCATGTTCTACAGAAAGAAATAACATAGTAATTTATGAAGCATTGGAAGTATCGTTATTGCAAAACTTCTATTATTCAAATATCAGAGGGGTTGTTGCTATGATGGTAAGCAACTTTCACTTCTAATCAAAAGGTTGTAAGTTCGAGTCACCCCAAGAGCAAGGTGGGGAGTTCTTGGAGGGAAGTATGCCGAGGGTCTATTGGAAACAGCCTCTCTACCTCATGGTAGGGGTAAGGTCTGCATAAACACTACCCTCCCCAGACCCCACTAGTGGATTATACTGGGTTGTTGTTGTTGTTTGTGGCAAAAATTGGGGTAATTAAGCTCTACTATAATTAGCAGAAGATATCATTCACAAAGCATAAACATAGCATAGGGCAATTCTCAAACCCAAATTCTAAACCTGATTACCTTCAATTTGTGAAAACTTTCTGGAAAGGTGGATTCTGCTGGACTACATATATAGATTACGGATGTGTATTCGTGATGTTTCTCCTTCTCTGTTCCTCTTCGCCTCTATGTCTGTTAGCGCTCCTTCTCCAGTTTAACTTATCTGCAGACCCATATTCGAGAGAGTCCATAAAAGATTGAACTTTATGAAAAAAGAGCTACACACCATCTAAAAAATAAAAAGAGTTACAAAGCGGCAATGAGAGTTAGATGAATAAAACAAAGACAAAAGAAGATCAAGAGTAGCATGATATAAATACCTTACTATCTGGGTGATAAAATTTATACTATCTGGGTGATAAAATGAACAGTTATTAAGTATCGCAACATATAACAGCCCTGAAATTGCAAAATTAACAAGTACGTGAAGCACCCAGGAAAGCACGGAATTTCAAAACTCAGCAAGGTTAGAGCTTAAAAATAAAGTTTTTCCACCCGATTCAATTGCAAAATTAAAAATCATGAAAAGAACCCAAAATAAAAAAAGAGAAGGGAAAGGGATTTGGGAAAAATCAGAGAAGAAACAGATGAAGAGAACCTGCAAGAGCCACTAAACTTCAGAATATGACAAAATGAGAGAGAAGATATCAGGAACCATTAAACTTCAAAGCTAACAATAATGACCCAAAGGGAAGGAAGAACCAAGAAAAAAGGAGAAAAGAAAAAGTACCTGCAGCTAGACTTGAGAGCGAGAAGACAAACAGGGAGAAGCCGTGTATTCAGATGCAGTAATGGAAAATCTAATATGTTAATTTTTAAAATACAGCTGGAGTCACATATAAATTACACGTAATTTTTTTTGACATATCAAGCCACGCGTATAACATTGATAGGAAATGATACAAAATGACTACATTACCCTCGAGCTTTACAAAAAAGACATGAAACTGACAGGTCGAAACCTGAGCTCTTCTAATATATAGAAAAATAAAAAACAAATAGAAAATAGGATCCGTTAGTGAAAAGGGCATTGATGGCCCAAATTACTAACGGTAAGGGCATTAGTAGCCTTAATTTTAAACGGAGGGCATTTTTGTTCACTTTCGCAAATCACAGGGGCAATAAAGTAACATGCTTCAGTTTTTAATTGATTGGGTGTAAATACCTGGTGCAGATAAGGTTTTACCTTTTCTTTTCACTTCATCACCACTGTTTTTTTTAAAACATGAACTTCCGAGAAAAGACATAGGAGTCCGTTTGGCTTAGCTGATCAAAAGTAGTTGATAAGTATTAATGGCTTAAAAGTATTTTTAAGTGCTGAAATTGATTTAATGAATAAGTAGTTATGTGTTTGGATAAAAGTGATGAAACTAATAATAAGCAGCATAAATGTTTGGGAAAAAATAATGATAAGTATTTTTTTCTGTTGAAATAACTTAAACACCCTTAAAGTTATTTACTAGAACGTAATTTTTACAAGATTTTAAATTAAAAGTTGATTCAAATAAAATAATTTATGTCTCATTATACTTTTAACACAAAATTGATTTTTATAAATATAAATTATTTTATGATAAGTTAAACAACAATCATAATCTTTAATATAATAATTAATATTTTGAGTAAAGTTTGTGAGTAAAACATACTTAAAAAGTACATAAAATATTTGTATATAACAAATATGCAATTAATGAAAGCTTGTTTCTGTTAATTAAATTAAAACATCCAAATATCATAAATATTCGCAGCAATATAATCACGAGTTGCAATCAAAAGTTTGGTATGTAATAAACAATGCAAACAATTTCTTTAAGTTAAAGAAGATGAAAGAAGAATGATTTATAAACGAGCAGCTTTCTCACTTGCTTTTGACATAGAAAAGCTTCAAAACTTGAATAGTTACTGAATTTGGAGAAAAGACATGAAAAAGGTGAAAGAATGACGATAAGAAGAAGGTCGGAATTAATATTATTTTATAAAGTATATTTCAGAACTTATGATATAATATTAGGGATAGAATAGTAACATATAACATTAAAGTGCTTATAAGCTGAAATTTGATAAGGGTGACCAACATATAGCTTATGACTTATTTTGACTTATAAGCACTTAGCTTATAAACATTTTAAATTTTACGAAACACATAAATAAGCCAAAAAAAAATTATGAGCTAGTTTGACCATGAGCGTTGAATTGTGCCCTTCAAACATCTGCCCAAAAGATCTTTATCAGTGATATTTGAGCCTCCGGTGCGGCTTCCTTTGACTATCCATATACACTTGTTGGTTGCTTCAGCGTAGGAATGGTTCTTGTGTATAATGCAGTTCCTTCTATTAGTAATATTGTGATATAATGTTGTCAAAGAATCTAATACTAGGTTATTATATGATAGGATAAATCAGAAGTGAGGATTAATTAAAAGCCATAGGGACTGGCTGGCCTGATTTACGTAACAAGTTAAAAGTTATTGGACATCTTACAGAGATAAACTCTTTTTTGGTGGCCTGATTTACGTAAATAAGTTGAGATTGCTCGAGATAAACTCATTTTTGCACTTAATCCACCTTTAGTTTAGAAAAAATCACTCCGTCAAAATGGATTTGGCCTCACAGCTCAATTCAGCCCGCTACTTAGTAGACTTGGGTCAGGATTTTTTGAACCCATTTAAAACTGAGGCTTATAAGTCTGGCCCAAGTCAGCCCGCTGGCCCTTGAGGCTTGATCGAGGATGGGCCTGGTCCGGCCCATGGACCAAAAATTAATTAAATTTAAATTAATTAACTATTAAATATTTAATATTTAAAAAAGTAAAAACTAAAAAAAATTATTAACTATAATCCTCATTCCCCAACCCTAGATTGCTCATTTACCATTCCATATCAACTAGAATTTAGATTTTTGACATGATTGCAATATGACAAAATTAGTTTTTCTTTTGCTTAATTAATAACGAACTCGAAAAATTTTAGGTGGCCAATAATAATCTTTTTTCAAAAGAAAATATTACTTTATGTGGCCAATGATAAGTTTGGATTACTTTAATATATTATTAATATTTAAACTACTCATCAGTATAGAAAAAGATCAATTTAAATACATAAAAAAAAAAAAATAGACCGCTAATAAATTTCAGAAATTTTAAAAATTTTATGGACTATAATGATGAAATCAGCAAATGATGTTAATCCTAAATTAAAAAACCTCAGCATATAAACTTATTGAAGCAATCCCTGAATCTGAGAAAAATGAAAGAAAAGTATTAAGAAAATATTCATGTAACTTTAAAAAAGAAGAGCTAGAGATATGGGTGGCATGTGGGCCGAGCCCGGTCCTAAGTGGCTTCGCGGGCCCGATCCTAAGTGGGCCGGTCCTAGGCGGGCCGATCCTAAGCGGTCCTGGGCTTCGCGGGCTTCTTGTTGGAACCGGTCCGGGACCTGAGCGGGCCCAAACAATCCTAAGCGGGCCCAAGTTGGCCCAACTGATACTTTCTATTTTTTAAATTATTTTTATACAAGTTAGAGAAAAAAAAATGGTAATAAAAATATATAAGGCAATTCCTAGTAAATTATATTATAAAATTATCACCTAAATTTTTTAATTCAAATTTAACGACAAAAATATTGTAAAGAGATANTATATAAAAAGATAAAAATATTGTAAAGAGATATTCAAAGCAATGCGTTATATTTTTATTATAGCATTAAAAAAATTATGGCAATATCCTCTTAGTCTTCCTCCCCCCTATGGAATGAGCACAACAAGGTGCTAATACCACCATTGAGAAGAAAGAAAAACTAATCAAGATGTGCCAAAATACAAGTTACATATTAATTTACATGGTATCTCTTATAAATTTCATAAATCTTTCAAGGTCCGGAGGAATTTTCGTTGGTGGTGGCGGAAATGAAGCTTGGCCATCACCGCTTCCAGGCGAAGCATCATCCTCTGCAAGTTCAGCTAGTATTTCTTC